AGGCTTGCTTATTTTCATTTATTTATTTATTTATTTAGGAACTTGGACAGTATCCACTCTTCTGGTCTAGTACAGAAAATCATTTAGATGCAAATATTTCTTGTATTTTGGGTGATGAATAATCCATTCTTGGTTCAAGTGGCTTTTTATAATCTACCATTATTCTAAGGCTACCAATTCTCTTTTGTTACATGCCCAATTATGATGCTTTTGGACTACTTTGTCTTAATTATATTCAGTGCTACCAACTCACTCAAATGTTTGCTCAAACCTTAAAAAAACTGCACATGGAACAAACCTATGTGAGTTCCGCACTGCATGAAAAGCATTAGTTTGGGTGGTTTGGGTCTGAACTGAAATGTACATATTTATTTATTTACTCCTTTTCTCTAGCCAACCATCTCAACAAATGACTCTAGGCAGCATACATCATGCAACATTAAAAAAGTTAAAACAATACAAAATAAAAACATATGGCATCAAGAAGATCTGCAACCGTGATTGTTAATACAGCCAAGGAACGGAACCCTTAGCACACTCAGGAGCCAGGACTGGGTAGACAACAAAGTCTTCACAACCTTATGAACAGCCAGCAGAGTTGGGGTCATCCTGGAGAGTGAATGTTCCAAAGGGCAGAGATTATGGCAGAGAAGACCAATTTCTTGGTCCCTGCCAGATGATGCTCCTTGGTTCATGGGAGTCATAACATGCTCAGCCTGCCAGAAGTTTCTTTAGGAATCCAGCCCAAGCCATGAAGGGGTTTAAAGATGATGACCAGCCCTTTGAATTGGCCTTAGAAGCACACTGGCAGCCCATGCAGCTCCTGAAGAAATGGTGTCACTTGTTTTGAATATCTGGCACCCTTTACTACCTGTGCAGCCACATTCTGCACCAGTTGATACTTATGAATGTTCTTCAAAGGCAGCCCCATGTAGAGAACAATGCAGTAATCCAGACGACAGGTCACAAGGGTATGAGTGGCTGTGAGCAAAGCCTCCCAACCCAGGAATGGATGCATTGGAACAAAATATATGCAAAATCCCTCTTGCCAATGGCTACCACCTGCTCTTCCAGCAGNTTCAGTACTTGTCCTTCTAAGGAACAGTCAGAGTTGATTTGACTAATTTGATCTCCTTGCAGTCCAGGGAACTTTCAAGTCTTCTCAAGCACCACAATTCGAAAGTATTAATCAAAAGATTTAGAACTACACTTCTTTATATAGCCTCTCCCAGGAGATTCTAAATAGTTGCTACGTACTCCTGTGTACATAATCCTGCTCCCAGATTTCCTTCTATTTTCTGTTTCCGTTAAGAATTCCCTGCTTTTATACAAGAAAGTTCCCCAAGTACGTAGAGGATATCTCTACATTTTCATCCTTTTCCAACACAATGGGGAAAAAAATTCAGATTTGCAGATATCTAGTCAAATAATTAATCTCAATACTGTAAGAGGTCTGCTGCCAAAATAAACTTCTGTTAGAAATTAATAGAACCTTCTGCTCTTGAACCAACCTTAAGAATTTTGATCTCGCATTCAGCAAACAAGACCCTCAAGCAATTGTTGCCTATCGTAAACAAGACACGTTGCCTATTGTAAACAAAGCAGAATTCTGCACACAATTGCAAA